TCCCTGAAAAGTAGCTCTTTCCAAGCAACCATAGATCCTCCACCAGTAACAATAGATTACCCAGCAACAATAGATACAAATCAAAACTAGATCTTCTCCAGCAACAATATAACCCCCAGCAACAATAGATCCCATGCAAACTAGATCTTCTCCTGCAACAATAGACTCCTCCCTCAACAGAAGCGCTCTCCCAGCAACCATAGATCCTCCACCAGCAACAATAGATCCCAAGCAAAACTAGATCTCCAGCAAAGATAGATCCGTCCCTCAACAGTAGCTCTCTCCCAGCAACCATAGATCCTCCATTAGCAAAAATAGACCGCCAGCAACAATAGACCCCATGCAAAACTAGATCTTCTCCAAAACAATAGACCCCTCCCTTGACAGTAGCTCTCTTTCACAACCATAGATCCTCCCCAACAATAATAGATCCAAATCAAAACTAGATCTTCTCCAGCAACAATATAACCCCCAGCAACAATAGATCCCATGCAAAAACTAGATCTTCTCCAGCAACAATAGATCCCATGCAAACTAGATCTTCTCCTGCAACAATAGACTCCTCCCTCAACAGAAGCGCGCTCCCAGCAACCATAGATTCTACACCAGCAACAATAGAACCCCCAGCAACAATAGACCCCTCCCTTGACAGTAGCTCTCTTTCACAACCATAGATCCTCCCCAACAATAATAGATCCAAATCAAAACTAGATCTTCTCCAGCAACAATAGATCCCATGCAAAACTAGATCTTCTCTAGCAACAATAGATCCCTCCCTTGACAGTAGATCTCTCCCAGCAACCATAGATCCTCCACCAGTAACGATAGAACCCCCAGCATCAGTAGACCCTCCAGTGTACCCCAGTACCCTCTCCCATTACAAACATTCAGCGCTGGAGGTGCCGGAACCCCCCACATTCCCGCTGAAAAGCCCCGATTAAAGTATTTATATTTTTTATACAGTGTACGTCTGGCCTGGTACCCGCCTATTGCAGTACAGCAGCAGAGCTCAGACTGGGAGAAGGGGGGGGGGGGACACAATAAGGTGCTCTGCATGCAAACTGTGCTGAAAAGGAATGTGCTGATGGGGGGGGGGGGGAGAAAAGAGTGAGCAGAGGGATGTCCTCATCAGCCTCCTGCTGCTCGCTCACTGCCCAGCCAGCAGGCCTGGGATTGGAGAGAAGGGAGAGAGCGGAAACAACAAGAGATCCGTGAATGGAGAGGAAGTACAAATGCAGCTTTTTCTGCGCCATTCTTCCCCGTCCTCTATGAAGGCAGCTGCTGTGACCGCAGAGCCCCCCCCTCCCCACCTCTGACACCTGCCCCCCTGTAGTCACACCACACGCTTTGCCTTTGGACTTGTCAGCCCCACACTTGGCCGCCTTCCATGTCTGCGGGACACTGAGCCCCGGGGTCACGCCATCGTGTCATGGGATTGGTGGGATTTCCTCACCGCATCGGAATCGCCTCTACGAGTCGCATGTGATCCGCAGGGAATGCGGTGCGGTTCCTCTACGAGTCGCATTTGATCTGCAGGGAATGCGGCGCGGTTCCTCTACGAGTCGCATTTGATCCGCAGGGAATGCGGTGCGGTTCCTCTACGAGTCGCATGTGATCCGCAGGGAATGCGGTGCGGTTCCTCTACGAGTCGCATGTGATCCGCAGGGAATGCGGTGCGGTTCCTCTACGAGTCGCATGTGATCCGCAGGGAATGCGGTGCGGTTCCTCTACGAGTCGCATGTGATCCGCAGGGAATGCGGTGCGGTTCCTCTACGAGTCGCATGTGATCCGCAGGGAATGCGGTGCGGTTCCTCTACGAGTCGCATGTGATCCGCAGGGAATGTGCGGTGCGGTTCCTCTACGAGTCGCATGTGATCCGCAGGGAATGCGGTGCGGTTCCTCTACGAGTCGCATGTGATCCGCAGGGATGCGGTGCGGTTCCTCTACGAGTCGCATGTGATCCGCAGGGGAGTGCGGTGCGGTTCCCTCTACGAGTCGCATGTGATCCGCAGGGAATGCGGTGCGGTCCTCTACGAGTCGCATGTGATCCGCAGGGAATGCGGTGCGGTTCCTCTACGAGTCGCATGTGATCCGCAGGGAATGCGGTGCGGTTCCTCTACGAGTCGCATGTGATCCGCAGGGAATGCTGCGGTTTCCTCTACGAGTCGCATGTGATCCGCAGGGAATGCGGTGCGGTTCCTCTACGAGTCGCATGTGATCCGCAGGGAATGCGGTGCGGTTCCTCTACGAGTCGCATGTGATCCGCAGGGAATGCGGTGCGGTTCCTCTACGAGTCGCATGTGATCCGCAGGGAATGCGGTGCGGTTCCTCTACGAGTCGCATGTGATCCGCAGGGAATGCGGTGCGGTTCCTCTACGAGTCGCATGTGATCCGCAGGGAATGCGGTGCGGTTCCTCTACGAGTCGCATGTGATCCGCAGGGAATGCGGTGCGGTTCCTCTACGAGTCGCATGTGATCCGCAGGGAATGCGGTGCGGTTCCTCTACGAGTCGCATGTGATCCGCAGGGAATGCGGTGCGGTTCCTCTACGAGTCGCATGTGATCCGCAGGGAATGCGGTGCGGTTCCTCTACGAGTCCATGTGATCCGCAGGGAATGCGGTGCGGTTCCTCTACGAGTCGCATGTGATCCGCAGGGAATGCGGTGCGGTTCCTCTACGAGTCGCATGTGATCCGCAGGGATGCGGTGCGGTTCCTCTACGAGTCGCATGTGATCCGCAGGGAATGCGGTGCGGTTTCCTCTACGAGTCGCATGTGATCCGCAGGGAATGCGGTGCGGTTCCTCTACGAGTCGCATGTGATCCGCAGGGAATGCGGTGCGGTTCCTCTACGAGTCGCATGTGATCCGCAGGGAATGCGGTGCGGGTTCCTCTACGAGTCGCATGTGATCCGCAGGGAATGCGGTGCGGTTCCTCTACGAGTCGCATGTGATCCGCAGGGAATGCGGTGCGGTTCCTCTACGAGTCGCATGTGATCCGCAGGGAATGCGGTGCGGTTCCTCTACGAGTCGCATGTGATCCGCAGGGAATGCGGTGCGGTTCCTCTACGAGTCGCATGTGATCCGCAGGGAATGCGGTGCGGTTCCTCTACGAGTCGCATGTGATCCGCAGGGAATGCGGTGCGGTTCCTCTACGAGTCGCATGTGATCCGCAGGGAATGGTGCGGTTCCTCTACGAGTCGCATGTGATCCGCAGGGAATGCGGTGCGGTTCCTCTACGAGTCGCATGTGATCCGCAGGGAATGCGGTGCGGTTCCTCTACGAGTCGCATGTGATCCGTCAGGGACATTTGCGGTGCGATTTCCTCTACGAGTCCTGACATTTGTGATCCGCAGGACATTTGCGGTGGGATTCCTCTACCGTCGCATGTGACATTTGGGGCGGATTTCCTTACGTCCTGACATTTGGGGGATTTGTACCGTCCTGACATTTGAAATGGGGCAATTTCCGTCTTTGCAAAAAACGACATTTGGGGGGATTTGTACCGTCCTGACATTTGGGGGGATTTGTACCGTCCTGACATTTGGGGGGGATTTCCTCTACCGTCCTGACATTTGGGGGGATTTGTGTACCGTCCTGACATTTGGGGGGATTTGTGACCGTCCTGACATTTGGGGGGATTTCTGTCACGTCCTGACATTTGGGGGGATTTGTACCGAATTTGGGGGGATTTGTACCGTCCTGACTTTGGGGGGATTTGTACCGTCCTGACATTTGGGGGGATTTGTACTGTCCTGACATTTGGGGGGGGGGATTTGTACCGTCCTGACATTTGGGGGATTTGTACCGTCCTGACATTTGGGGGGATTTGTACCGTCCTGACATTTGGGGGGGATTTGTACCGTCCTGACATTTGGGGGGATTTGTACACACGTCCTGACATTTGGGGGGAATTTGTACCGTCCTGACATTTGGGGGGGATTTGTACCGTCCTGACATTTGGGGGATTTGTACCGTCCTGACATTTGGGGGGATTTGTACCGTCCTGACATTTGGGGGGGATTTGTACCGTCCTGACATTTGGGGGGGATTTGTACCGTCCTGACATTTGGGGGGGATTTGTACCGTCCTGACATTGGGGGGGATTTGTACCGTCCTGACATCCTGGGGGGGGATTTGTAACCGTCCTGACATTTGGGGGGATTTGTACCGTCCTGACATTTGGGGGGATGTGTACCGTCCTGACATTTGGGGGGATTTGTACCGTCCTGACATTTGGGGGGATTTGTGACCGTACCGTCCTGACATTTGTGGGGATTTGTACCGTCCTGACATTTGGGGGGGATTTGTAGCCCGTCCGCATTTGGGGGGGTACCGTCCTGACATTTGGGGGGATTTCTACCGTCCTGACATTTGGGGGGGATTTGTACCGTCCTGACATTTGGGGGATTTCTTACGTCCTGACATTTGGGGGGGATTTGTACCGTCCTGACATTTGGGGGGATTTGTAACCGTCCTGACATTTGGGGGGGATTTGTACCGTCCTGACATTTGGGGGGGATTTGTACCGTCCTGACATTTGGGGGGATTTGTACCGTCCTGACATTTTGGGGGGATTTGTACCGTCCTGACATTTGGGCATGATTTGTACCGTCCTGACAGGGGGATTTGTACCGTCCTGACATTTGGGGGGATTTGTACCGTCCTGACATTTGGGGGATTTGCGTCCTGACATTTGGGGGGATTTGTACCGTCCTGACATTTGGGGGGGATTTGTACCGTCCTGACATTTGACATTTGGGGGGATTTGTACCGTCCGTCAGGGACATTTGGGGGGATTTGTACCGTCCTGACATTTGGGGGGGATTTGTACCGTCCTGACATTTGGGGGGATTTGTACCGTCCTGACATTTGGGGGGGGGATTTGTACCGTCCTGACATTTGGGGGTTTTGTACCCGTCCTGACATTTGGGGGGGATTTGTACCGTCCTGACATTTGGGGGGATTTTGATCCGTCCTGACATTTGGGGGGATTTGTACCGTCCTGACGAGGGGGGATTTGTACCGTCCTGACATTTGGGGGGATTTGTCCGTCCTGACATTTGGGGGGATTTGTACCGTCCTGACATTTGGGGGGATTTGTACCGTCCTGACATTTGGGGGGATTTGTACCGTCCTGACATTTGGGGGGATTTGTATCGTCCTGACATTTGGGGGGATTTGTACCGTCCTGACATTTGGGGGATATCTGTACCGTCCTGACATTTGGGGGGATTTGTACCGTCCTGCATTTGGGGGGATGCGATTTGTACCGTCCTGACATTTGGGGGGGATTTGTACCGTCCTGACATTTGGGGGGGATTTGTAATACGTCCTGACATTTGGGGGGCAAATGGGGGTTCCTGGCAATCTAGGGGATCAATACGGGGGTACATATGGATCGATCCGATTTGTCTGACATACATGCGGATTTGTAGGGGACTCGTCCTGGATCGCATTTGGGGGGATCTGTACGTACAGTCGCATTTGATCCGCAATTGGGGGGATTGTACCGTGCCCGGTATTCTACGGGGATTTGTGATCCGCAGGGGGAATGTCCTGACATTTGGGGGATTCTGTACCATCCTGATCCGCAGGGATGGGGGGGGGATTTGGGCCCCTGTCCTGACATTTGATCCGGGGAATCATGGGCCCCCATTTGGGGGGGATTCCTCTGTACGAGTCGTCCTGACATTTGGGGGGGCCCCGGTGCGGTTGACATTTGGGGGGAATTTGTCCCAGGGTCCTGTCATTTGGGAACTCCTCATGAGTCGCATTTGATCCGACAGGTCCCGGGGGACATTTGGGGCCCGCAGGCAACCCGTCGGACTTCATGGGTGGAGTTCAACTATTTGGAGTCGCATGTGATGGGGGGAGTTTGGTATGCGGCTCCCTGGGGTTGAAAAAGGACGGTGGCAGCATCAGGGCATGTATACAAGGGGGGACCCCTGCACAACTCATGCCCCGGGGGATTTAGTGCGTCCTGGGGTGGGTCATATTGGGAAAAGTGTGTCCCCCAGATGTCTGGAATTTGGGGGATTTCCCCATACCGTCCCATTTGGGAGGAGGATTTGTGCTGGGAGAGGAATTTAGGGGGGGATTTGTGCTGGGCACCGTCCTGAGGGGATTTGGGGGGGATTTGTGCAAGGAGAGGTGATTTAGGGGGGAGGAGAGATTTGTGCTAGGAGAGGGGATTTAGGGGGGAGGAGATTTGTGCAAGGAGAGGGGATTTAGGGGAGAGGAGATTTGTGCTGGGAGAGGGGATTTGGGGGGAGGAGATTTGTGCAGGGAGAGGGGATTTAGGGGGAGGGAGATTTGTGCTGGGGGAGAGGGGATTTTAGGGGGGAGGAGATTTGTGTTGGAGAGGGGGATTTAGGGGGGAGGAGATTTGTGCTGGGAGAGGGGATTACAGGGGGAGGAGATTTGTGCAGGGAGAGGGGATTTAGGGGGGGGAGATTTGTGCTGGGAGAGGGGATTTAGGGGGGAGGAGATTTGTGCTGGGAGAGGGGATTTGGGGGGAGGAGATTTGTGCTGGGAGAGGGGATTAGGGGGAGGAGATTTGTGCTGGGAGAGGGGATTAGGGGGGAGGAGATTTGTGCTGGGAGAGGGGATTTAGGGGGGAGGAGATTTGTGCTAGGAGAGGGGATTTAGGGGGGAGGATATTTGTGCTAGGAGAGGGGATTTAGGGGGGAAGAGATTTGTAGGAGAGGAGAGGTGATTTAGGGGGGGTAGGAGATTTGTGCTGGGAGAGGTGATTTAGGGGGGAGGAGATTTGTGCTGGGAGAGGTGATTTAGGGGGTAGGAGATTTGTGCTGGGAGAGGTGATTTAGGGGGGAGGAGATTTGTGCTGGGAGAGGTGATTTAGGGGGGAGGAGATTTGTGCAAGGAGAGGGGATTTAGGGGGGGGAGGAGATTTGTGCAAGGAGAGGGGATTTGGGGGGGGAGGAGATTTGTGCAAGGAGAGGGGGATTTAGGGGAGGAGGAGATTTGTGCTGGGAGAGGGGATTTAGGGGGGAGGAGATTTGTGCAGGGAGAGGGGATTTAGGGGGGAGGAGATTTGTGCTGGGAGAGGGGATTTAGGGGGGAGGAGATTTGTGCTGGGAGAGGGGATTTAGGGGGGAGGAGATTTGTGTTGGGAGAGGGGATTTAGGGGGGAGGAGATTTGTGCTGGGAGAGGGATTTAGGGGGGAGGAGATTTGTGCTGGGAGAGGGGATACAGGGAGGAGGAGATTTGTGCAGGGAGAGGGGATTTAGGGGGGGAGGAGATTTGTGCTGGGAGAGGGGATTTAGGGGGGAGGAGATTTGTGCTGGGAGAGGGGATTTAGGGGGGGAGGAGATTTGTGCTGGGAGAGGGATTAGGGGGAGGAGATTTGTGCTGGGAGAGGGGATTAGGGGGGAGGAGATTTGTGCTGGGAGAGGGGATTTAGGGGGGAGGAGATTTGTGCTAGGAGAGGGGATTTAGGGGGGAGGATATTTGTGCTAGGAGAGGGGATTTAGGGGGGAAGAGATTTGTGCTAGGAGAGGTGATTTAGGGGGGTAGGAGATTTGTGCTGGGAGAGGTGATTTAGGGGGGAGGAGATTTGTGCTGGGAGAGGTGATTTAGGGGGGAGGAGATTTGTGCTGGGAGAGGTGATTTAGGGGGGAGGAGATTTGTGCTGGGAGAGGTGATTTAGGGGGGAGGAGATTTGTGCTGGGAGAGGGGATTTAGGGGGGAGGAGATTTGTGCTGGGAGAGGTGATTTAGGGGGGAGGAGATTTATGCTGGGAGAGGGGATTTAGGGGGGAGGAGATTTATGCTGGGAGAGGGGATTTAGGGGGGAGGAGATTTGTGCTGGGAGAGGGGATTTAGGGGGGGAGGAGATTTGTGCTGGGAGAGGGGATTTAGGGGGGAGGAGATTTGTGCTGGGAGAGGGGATTTAGGGGGGAGGAGATTTGTGCTGGGAGAGGGGATTTAGGGGGGGGGAGATTTGTGCTGGGAGAGGGGATTTAGGGGGGAGGAGATTTGTGCTGGGAGAGGAGGGATTAGGGGGGAGGAGATTTGTGCTGGGAGAGGGGATTAGGGGGGAGGAGATTTGTGCTGGGAGAGGGGATTTAGGGGGGAGGAGATTTGTGCTGGGAGAGGGGATTTAGGGGGGGAGGAGATTTGTGCTGGAGAGGGGATTTAGGGGGGAGGAGATTTGTGCTGGGAGAGGTGATTTAGGGGGGGAGGAGATTTGTGCTGGGAGAGGGGATTAGGGGGGGAGGAGATTTGTGCTGGGAGAGGTGATTTAGGGGGGAGGAGATTTGTGCTGGAAGAGGGGGATTTGTGCCTGGGGAGAGCGGTTTTTTTTTGGGGGGGGATTCGTGCTGGGAGAGGAGAACTGGGGGGGATTTATGCCCAGAGGGGAAATTTGGGGAGGTAATTTTGACTTAGGAGGGGTAAGTGTAAAGATTAATGCTGGAATTTTTTTCTTTTTTTGGGGGGGATTTTTACTGACACACAATGCTTACACATTGGGGGGGGGGGGGGGGTGATCACCAGATAAAGATTTGCCTTTGGGTTTATTACCGCCTAAACTGACCCCAGTGTGTGTGGGGGGGGGGGGCTACCTTGTATTGCGCCCCCCCCCCCCCCCCCCCCCGAGGACGGGGCTGAGCTGTGTGAACGATCGCTGCGACTCCATCACTTCCTGTAGCTGAAATTTTTATCACATAGAAAGGTGATCACAGGGTGGTCCATCAAGTCTGCCCACATTTTTTTTTTTTTGGGGGGGGGGTTTTGTCTTTTTTGTGGGGTTTGTTGTGCTTTTAGGGGGGGTTATTTTTTTTGTTTGTTTTGTGTGGTTTATTTTTTTTTTTTTTGGAGGGGGGTGTCGGGTTTCCTTTGTTTTTGTCAACATTTTGGAGTATTAATCAATCCCAGGCATGTTTTTTATTTTTATTTTTTTTTAATTTGGGGGGGGGGGGTTGATTGTTTATTCCCGGCATCCACTACTCTTGCAGCGATACTGTCTGAGTTGCGTCTAGAACTTTCCTGCGGTTAGTCGGCGGTCCGGTGCCCACGTTCCGCTTCTAAACCTCCTCGCCCATCGCCTGATTTAAGATTATTTTGGGATTTTATACATTTAAAAAAATAAATAAATAAAAATAAAAAAAAAGTGAAAACCTTTTCTGAGCGATTATGAAGCGGATTTGTCTGAAGTCGCTGCGACTGCTGGGATCATCGGAATCCACAGATGGCAATACCGCGGATGTCCAGTGGGGGGCGGCGCTGCTTTGTGCGCGGTGCAGTGTAATATTGTACCCACTAGATGTCGCTAGAGAAGCAAAAAACTGGGAGAACATTCAATGGCAAGCTGGAATTTGTAACCATTGATGAATTGTAGCATGGAATGTTCCATCTGGGGGGTGTCGCAGGAATGGGGGGTGTTGTAGGAATGGAGGGGTCTCAGGAATGGGGGGGGGGTGTTGTAGGAATGGAGGGGTCTCAGAGATGGGGGGTGTTGTAGGAATGGAGGGGTCTCAGAGATGGGGGGTGTCGTAGGAATGGGGGGGGGGGGGGGGGGCTCAGAGTCAGGGATGGGGAAGGGGGGTGTTGTAGGAATGGGGGGAGGTGTAGCAGGAATGGGGGGTGTTTGTAGGAATTGGGGGCTCAGAATCAGGGATGGGGAGAGGGGGTGTTGTAGGAATGGGGGGGTCTCTGGGGAGGGGGGGTGTTGTAGGAATGGGGGGGGAGGGTGTCACAGGAATTGGGGGGAGGTCTCAGGAATGGGGGGGGGGGAGGGTGTCGCAGGAATGAGGGGGGGTGTCACAGGAAGGGGGGGTGTTGTAGGAATTGGGGGGATCTCAGGAATGGAGGGGGTGTTGTAGGAATGGAGGGGTGTTGCAGGAATGGGGGGGAGGGTGTCACAGGAATGGGGGGGTCTTAGGAATGGGGAGGGGGGTGTTGTAGGAATAGAGGGGGTTGCAGGAATGGGGGGGGTCATAGGGATGGGTGTTGTAGGAATGGGGGGGTGTCGCAGGGATGGGGGGTGTCACAGGGATGGGGTGTGTGTTGTAGGAATGGGGGGTGTCGCAGGGATGGCGGGTGTGTTGTAGGAATTGGGGGGGATCTCAGGAATGGAGTGGGTATTGTAGGAATGGGGGGAGGGTGTTGTAGGAATGGGGGGGGGGGTCTCAGGGATGGAGAGGGGGGTGTTGTAGGAATAGAGGGGGTTTCAGGAATGGGGGGTCATAGGGATGGGGATGGGGGGGTGTCGCAGGGATAGGGGTGTGTTGTAGGAATGGGGGGGTCTCAGGGATGGGGATGGGGGGTGTCACAGGGATGGGGGGTGTCGCAGGGATGGGGGGTGTTGTAGGAATAGGGGGTGTCGCAGGGATGGGGGTGTTGTCGCAGGGATGGGGGTGTGTCGCAGGGATGGGGGGGGTGTCGCAGGGATGGGGGGGGGGGTGTCGCAGGGATGGGGGTGTGTCGCAGGGATGGGGGGGGTGTGTCGTAGGGATGGGGGGGTCTCAGGGATGGGGATCGGGGGGGGTGTCGCAGGGATGGGGGGGGGTGTCGCAGGGATGGGGGTGTGTTGTAGGAACAGGGGGTGCCGCAGGGATGGGGGTG